AGGGAGGATCTCTGACTATTAAACCTCAACTTGCATTCAGAAAAACCTCCACAAATGAAACAGAGGACCATAAAAATTACAATAATAAAAACAACAATAATGGTAACGACAATCGCACCAATAAACCTCATGGACTCGCAACCGCTTCCCGTATAAACTCTTCTTTCCCCGAGTACTTAAAACGAGTCCCTTGGCAACCGGGAATCCAGTCCTTTTCCCCCTTTTCTCTTTCTTCCCTTCTTCCTCTTCTCTCTGTCTCTTTCTTCCCTTCTTCCTTTTCCCTCTGTCTCTTCCTTTCCTTCTTCCTCTTCCCTCTGTCTCTTTCTCCCTTTCTTTCTTTTCCCTCTGTCTCTTTCTTTCCTTCTTCCTCTTCCCTCTGTCTCTTTTTTCCTTTCTTCCTCTTCTCTCTGTCTCTTCTTTCCTTTCTTCTTCTTCTATCTGTCTCTTTCTCCCCTTCCTCCTCTTCCCTCTGTCTCTTTTTTCCTTTCTTCCTCTTCTCTCTGTCTCTTCCTTTCCTTCTCCTTCTTCTCTTTTCCTTTTTCCCTTCTTTCTCTTCCCTCTGTCTCTTTCTCTTCCCTCTGTCTCTTTTTTCCCTTCTCCCTCTTCCCTGTCTCTTCCTCCCCTTCTGTCTCTTCCCTCTGTCTCTTTTTTTCCTTTCTCCCTCTTCTCTCTGTCTCTTTCTTCCCTTCTTCCCTTTCTCTCTGTCCCTTTCTTCCCTTCCCTCTCTCCCCACTAACCCTTTCTCCTTTCTCCCTTTCCCTCATCAATCTCTCTTCCTTTCCCCTTCATCATTATCCAACTCTCTATCTTTTTCCCTATCTTCCCCCTTCTTTAACCACCCCTTTTCCTCCTTTTCCTTTCGCTTCCCTTTTACCTGTTCCTCCTTGTTCCATCCTTTCTCCCCTTCCTCTTTTCTCATTTTATGTCCCTTCCCTCCCCTTATCATCCACCTCCTCCAACCTGTTATCTTTCTCCTTCCCTTTTCCTTCTACTCTTCCACCGTTTTCTTTCTTTCCCCACTTCCCCTCTTTTTCCTCCGTCTACCCCTACCCCTTTTCCCAAATCTGTTTTCCCTCTCTCTCCTTCCCTCCCAAACCCCTCCTTCTCCTCCCTCCTCCCCTCCCTCCCTTTCTTCCCTTTCCAAAACCCCTATTTCCCTTCCTCTTCCCCTCCCTCCCTCCCCCCCCCCTTTCACCATCCCCTTTCCCCTTCCCCCTTTCCTCCCCCCTTTCTTAAAAATCCCAGCGCTATTAATTCGCTCACGGGGCCGATCCCACAATCCTCATTCTGCAATTGCAAGGAATAATTTGCATAGGCTTTTTTTTACGGCCGATGGAAATAACCTTTTGACGCTCTGGGCTAAGTGGCGAACCCGACGGCGCTCTTGCTGCTCCTTCCACGCGAGTACAGGGGACGGCCGCTCGTGGGATTTGCATGCGTTGTGTGGGGAAAGACATGGCAGGATTAGATGGATAGATTGGGGGGGTTGGTAAAAAAGATGGATAGATATAGAGATATGTTGGAGGATGTGTAAAAGGACAGACCGATGGACAGTTAAATAAATACATACATACAAGTTCCAAGTACTGTGAATTATATCAATAACAATATATATATCTATATATATAATACACACACACATACATACATACATACACACACACATATATAGACAGAGAGAGAGCGAGAGATAGACAGATGGACAGATAAAGATAGATAAATAAATTGACTAACTCACCGACAAGAGGCATGTTAACTACATTATTAAACGATCTGTAGGACATATTTATATTTTTCTCCTTTTGTACAGGTTAACGTTGCCTCCACGTATAATTCACGCATAAAGTTTTTGTTCATTTGTGAATTCATACTTACACAAAATTCCTCTGTAGAATCGACGAAAAATAAAACGAAAGAATCACAGAATTTGCCGAGGGAATAAGATATTTCATTAGTTAATGGCCGATGGTGGGCAGTCATCATCATCTGATGTACGCCCACTTTCTTATCGACGCCCACTCGTGGGGAAGTTCGCAACCTCGACCACCCATCCGTGAAGACGACCACGGCAGTTCAAAAAAGACGCTTTTTGCATTCACTCCCTCCGTATCCATCAGCTTAGTTTATCACGCACGCATCTATCCGTTCCCCTCACCCAACCCTTCCCCTTATCACTCCCCTCCCTTCGCCCCCGTACACTTCTTGGGTTCCTCATCCCCTTCCCATTCCCCCCATCCACCCCCCACCCATCCCTACCCCCATCTCCCCACCTACCCCTTACCCCCCACCCCCCACCTCGACGAACTCACCCGTTAATGGAAGTCTGCGTCATGAACATCCCGAGCAGCGCCTTGGCCACGCTGTGCCAGATCTGCGTGAAGATCCACTCGGACTGTTCGAAGCAGTTGTCCAGGAAGCTTCTGGTCTCCTCGTCGGTGGAGAGCTGCACGAACCGCTCCCGCACGTTATCGGCCAGGGCGAGCTCGTCCACGGCGTAGAGCTGGGGGGAGAGGGAGGAAAACATGAGTGAGGGTGTGAATGAGTGAGGAAGGGAGGGAAAATGAGTAAAGGAAGAGGATGAGGGGGGAGGGAGAAGAAGAGATGGATAAGAGGAGAGGTACGGGCGGAGTAAGAGGGAGAGGGAGAAGGGGGAATGGATGAATAGGAAAAAAGGGGAGGGGGAGAGAGAGAGAGAGAGAGAGAGAGAGAGAGAGAGAGAGAGAGAGAGAGAGAGAGAGAGAGAGAGAGAGAGAGAGAGAGAGGGGGGGGGGGGGGGGGATGGAGGGAGGGAGAGGAGGGGAGAGGGGAAAGGGGAGAAGGAAGGGAGGAGAGAAAGGGAGGCAAGGGGAGGCGAGGGAGGGAGGGAGGGAGGGAGGGAGAGAGAGATGGAGGCGAGGGGAGGGGAGAGAGAGAGAGAGATGGAGGGAGGGAAAATAGGGGAGAGGGAAGGGAAGGAGAGAGGGGAGGCGAGGGGAGAAGAAAGGGGGGGCAAGGGGAGGGAGGAAAGGGATGGGAATGGAGGGGGGGTAGGGAGGGAGAGAAGGAAGAAAGAAGGAAGGAGAGAGAGAGAGAGGGGGGGGGAGGGGGGGGAGAGAGAGAGAGAGAGAGAGAGAGAGAGAGAAGAGAGAGAGAGAGAGAGAGAGAGAGAGAGAGAGAGAGAGAGATAGAGAGAGAGAGAGAGAGAGAGAGAAGGAGAGAGAGAGAGAGAGAGAGAGAGAGAGAGAGAGAGAGAGAGAGAGAGAGAGAGAGAGAGAGAGATCAGCATAAAGATAGGTTGGTAGATATAGAATGACACACACACACACAAACAACTTCCAAGAACTGTAAATTATATTAATGACAATATATATATATATATATATATATATATATATATATATATATATATATATATATATATATATATATATATATAATACACACACACACACATACACATATAAATAATATATGCACATGTATATCTATATATTGTTGGATAATTACACATATACACGATTGTGTGTGAAATATGATTTAAAATACTATTACAAATACTGTTTCAAATACCACAGTACGACAAAATACATTATAAGTGTTTGGTTAATCTCATATTCGCTTTTCGACATTTTTTTATGTGTGTTACATTCCATAACAAAATATCATCGATGGCATTAGATCGAGAGGTTTTCCCGTGAATACAACAGCAGATACAACATACTTCCTGAGATTCCGCAGCGGCTGCGCTTCAACTACAATGATAAAGAGCTGTAACGCGGTTGTAACACCTGCAACATTGTCGTGCATCCGTCGCAAGTACGCGCATCGGATTTTTCTTTCGAAGCATCTCCCTCCGAAAAAGGATACCGAAGGCTTCTTTTCTTAATCGCTCGCATTAATCCCTCTCTCGCTTCCTTCCTCCTTGCATCGCGGAAGGGAGCGAGCGATCCCGAGAAAATTACGACACCCAAAGGGAAGTAAAGGCAAAGGCAAGGAAACGGAGAATTCCCGAAGACCATCCAACGAAAGCTTCGAAGCCCGGGTCGGGGGGGAATGAAGCAATGAAGCCCGTTCGAGCCGCGCGCACAATGCATCCGACGTTACTGGGAGAACAAAAATGAAGGGTTTCTTGTGTCTCAGCATAGATAAAGAATTGGGCATTGAGCATAAGCATCGGCACCGTCAGCATGAATAGCAGGACCTTCCCCTTCGGTCTCTTCGACCCCCCCCCCTCCCCCTACCTCCCCGAACCCCTGAGAACCCCCAACCACATCTCTTCCCATCCAGGCTCAAGCGGTGGCAAAAGGCGACAAGAAACGCATTCCTCCGCTCTATCAACGCGGAAACAACCATCCATTAAGATCTGTTTGCAATACTGGGCCTGCCCCCTTCTGTCTCTCTCTTTCCCTCTCTCTCTCTCTCTCTCTCTCTCTCTCTCTCTCTCTCTCTCTCTCTCTCTCTCTCTCTCTCTCTCTCTCTCTCTTCTTCTTCTTCTTCTTCATCATCTTCCCTCTCTCTCTTCCTCCCCATTTCTTCCCCATGCCTCGGGCTCCCTCCCTTCCTCTTCCTCCCCCCGCCCCCTCCAACCTCCAACCCCCTCCTTCTTGGCCTTCCCCTCAAACCCCCCGAACCTGCAACGGCGGGGTGGTCCGATCTCGGCCCTTTGTCGCTCTCAGGGCTGGCGAGGGGGGGAGGGGGGCGACCGAGGAGAAACACAGCCGCGACCGCCTCTCCCGCCGCCGCCGATGTTCTTGCCGCCGTCGCCGTTGTCTGCCCCCCCCCCCCCCCCTGCTGCCCTGACCCGGACTCGCTCGCCATAAATCAGGGCTTCCCCCCCCTTTTTCCCTCTCTTATTGGAAGGGTTTATCTTGCTTAAGCAGGTCGCCGGCGATAATTCAGGACTCGGACCACCCTTGTCATCTCCCCGGCCCCGTTCTGACCGTTTTTCCTTCGCGCCCGCTTAGTGCCGCTAATTATCTGCAGCGAAGGTGATGCATTGCAGGTTTTTACGCTAACGGTATCATATTGTCCTGCAAGCGGATCGCAACGGCAACAAAAAGGGGGGAAGTACATCTTGCAATAAATAACACGGATGAGCGTCTATGATTCGGTTTCGATTTCCCGTCTCTCGGCCAAACAGTTCTTAAACGAAGGAATTAATACATTTTTTTTTTTTATTCAACTTCCTCTACCGATAATCTAACCCTTTCTCTAAATAGTCCTCTAATTCTCTAATGACCAATTCTAAAACAAATCCCCAAATCTGAACAAATACCAAAGCCAGATTAGGTAATGAACCTCGTAAGTTTACGCCAGCCTCCCGGCCTTCGTTCTTCCCCTCCTCTCCCCCCTACCCCCCCCACCACCACCTCTATCCTTTTGCAACCATAACCTGTTGCATCTCCCATACGTTTGCAACAGGAAGGAGGAAGGGTTTAAAGGGGGGGGAGGGAGGGTAAAGATTAATGTTGCTGGTCTGGAAACATCATCAATCAGAAGAGGGGACGCGAGAACTAAAGAAAGGGGGGAGAGAGAGAGAGAGAGAGAGAGAAGAGGGGGGGGGGTAGGGAGTGAAAGAGAAAGGAAGGGAGGGAGGGAGGGAGGGTAGACGGGGAGGAGAAAGGACGAGGAAAGGGATCGAGAATTCCACTTCATTTGCAACATTTATCCATTGCATTGCCACTTTCCTACCTCTCCCCCACTCCCTTTCTTCTTGCCTCTCTCGCTCTCTTTTACTAAACTATCCCCTTTTCTTTCTTTCTCTTCTTTGTCCGTTTTATGTCTCCATGTCTCCTTGTCTGCATCTGTCTGTTTGTCTGTGCTTGTCAGTCATTATCTCTGATCTGTCTGTCTGTCAGTCCCAGTTTTATGTCTCCTTTCTCCATTCCAGTCCGTTTCTCTCCATTTCTTTTTGTGTTAGAGAGTCTGTCTGTCTTCCAGTCTGTTTTACTGTTTAACTTCTATGTCCCTCTTCCTTCATCCTCTCCTGCCTCTCCCTTCCCTTTCTCCCTCTTATTCTCCCTCCTTTCTCCCTCTTATTTCTTGCCTCTCCTTTCCCACTCTTCCTCCATCATATGCCCTGTCCCTTCCCTATCTCTCTCTCTCCTCTCTCTTCACCCTCTCTTGCCCCTCATATCTCCCTTTATCCTCCCTTCCCATTCTCCCTCTACATCGCTCTCGCAACCACAACCTGTTGCAATTCTCCTCTCCTGGACAATGCTGAAAGGATTTTAACGTTTCATCAGCGGCGATGGAATTTACTGTCCATCATGTGCAGAAAGAGAGAGACAATATTTGCCCGGCCATTTCCTTATTGCAAGGAACTGGCCGCGATATGTTTTCAATTGCCCCTGTTAAATAATGATGGCAAATACGAGTATCAATTCAATCAAATATGCAAATTTGTGGTAAGGATATTATTCCACTCACATCATTCTGCCTCGTTCCACGTTCTGGTCGGTAGGTGGAGGGGAGGGGGGGGAAAGGGGAGGGGGGAAGGGGGGAGAGGGTGAGGCTAATATTCAAACCATAATAATAGTTTGTTTTCCATGAATAAAGCATTCTTGACTGAAAGGAATTTGGTCTGGAGTCCCGCTTCAACAAAGGCAACTTCAAAATACACGATGTTGTGGTACACAGCTTTTTGCATAGACTAATAATGGAGACTAATAATGACAAACTATTGCAGCGAAGAAAGGATATGTACTGCGATACTAATCTGCAACATAGAATCCTCCGTGGTACTGCTTAACGATATGAATATGTGTGTGCGCAAATGTGTCTATTCAAGTACGGATATATATGCAACCACACAAGTATATATATGTAAATTTATATTATATTGTATATGCTTATACACGTTCAATGTAAATGTATATATGTATTAACACTTACACACACTCACACACACACACACACACACACACACACACATATATATAAACATACATATCTATCTATCTATCTATCTATCTATATATATATATATACACACACATCCACACAAACACACACACACACACACACACACACACACACACACACACACACATATATATATATATATATATATATATATATATATATATATATATATATATATACGCACACACACACAGACATACGTGTATATATATATATATATATATATATATATATATATATATATATATATATATATATATATATATACATATATATATATATATATATATATATATACATATACATATATATATATACACACACACACATATATATGCACACACATATATACATATATACACACATTATATATATATATATATATATATATATATATATATATATATATATATATATATATATATATATACACACATATATATATATATACACGCACATACACACACACACACACACACACACACACACACACACACACACACACACACACACACACACACACATATATATATATATATATATATATATATATATATATATATATATATATGAATGATGAAAACACTCTACCGTGTT